GTGCTGGTGCTGTCCCTGCTGCGTCTGGAGCTGCAGCGCGGCCTCGGCCGTACTTTGTTCCGCTCCTGCAGCAGGTTCTTGGTCTTTCTCCTCCAGTAGAGGGTCCACCGCCTGTCCAGTCGCAGTCCCTGCTGGAGCCTTCCTCTCCACTGCCTGCTCCCTCTCCTTACACCGGTCCTACTGGAGGTCTTGCTGAGCGTCGTGAGCCTGCGTCTCGTCCCGCGTCGCCTGTTCGCACTGCTCGCGCTAGTGGTTGCAGTTCGCGTCAGCGTCCTCCTCCTGTCCCTGGCACGCACCGGATGTCTTTGCGTCCGTCCACTGCTCCTCTGCGTGCCCCTTTGCCTTCTCCTCCTGAGTCTTCTCTTCCTGCGCTTGCCGACCCTGGGTCGGACTCTCTTCGTGCTGCCAGTCCTACTGTCACGCGTCTGCTTGCTACTGTCGTCACTGACCCCTCTTTTGAGTCCACTGCTGCGTCTGCTCTAGTCGCTGAGCTCGTCGACTTTGCTGCTCGCTGTCGTCTCGACTACGCTGCTGGTCTTGTTGCTGAGTCTGCGTCTGTCTGTCCTCCGTCCGTCGGGGGTGAGTGTGCTCTTGGCACGGACGTCCTAGAGGACAGGCAGGAGGAGTTACAGTGTCTAGCGACTGCTTCACCTCATCTCGCGTCTGTACTGCTTGCCCCTGAGGGAGACCCGGATGCACTAGACATCCCGACTCCGCGTTCTTACGCGGAGGCCGTAGAGGGTCCCTACTCCTCTCAGTGGCAGGCAGCTATGGATGCAGAGATGGCTTCCTGGAAGTCCACAGGCACCTACGTTGACGCGGTTCCCCCTCCTGGGGCAAACATCGTCAGTGGCATGTGGATCTTCAGGGTGAAGCGGCCGCCGGGCTCTCCACCTGTCTTCAAGGCACGGTACGTTGCCCGTGGCTTCAGTCAGCGGCAGGGAGTTGACTACTTTCAGACCTTCTCTCCCACCCCGAAGATGACTACTCTTCGGGTGCTGCTGCACATAGCCGCTCAGCGCGACTACGAGCTTCACTCTCTCGACTTCAGCACTGCGTTCTTGCAGGGTAGCCTGCACGAGGAGATCTGGCTTCGCCGTCCACCTGGCTTCACTGGGACTTTCCCTCCTGGCACCCAGTGGAGCCTCCGACGGCCAGTCTACGGTCTCCGCCAGGCACCGCGTGAGTGGCACGACACACTGAGGACTACGCTTGCGGCTCTTGGGTTTGCTCCTTCTACTGCTGACCCGTCGCTGTTTCTTCGCACCGACACTTCCCTGCCGCCGTTCTACATCCTCGTGTACGTCGACGACTTGGTCTTTGCCACAGCGGACACTGCTGGACTTGCCTACGTGAAGTCCGAGCTGCTGAAAAGACACACGTGCACAGACCTGGGTGAACTGCGCAGCTACCTTGGCTTGCAGATCACTCGGGACAGAGCACGCCGCACCATTACCTTGACTCAGTCACACATGGTGCAGCAGGTCCTTCAGCGCTTCGGCTTCACGTACTCCTCGCCTCAGGCCACTCCTCTGCCTACTCGCCACTCACTCTCAGCTCTGCCTTCGGATGAGTCCGTAGAGTCGAGTGGTCCGTATGCAGAGCTTGTTGGCTGCCTCATGTACCTGATGACCTGCACACGACCTGACCTTGCATATCCTCTGAGCATTCTTGCTCGCTATGTTGCTCCTGGGAGACACAGACCAGAGCACATGGCTGCAGCGAAGAGGGTATTGCGCTACCTGTGCAGCACGTCGGGCATGGGGCTAGTGCTTGGAGGGCGGAGTCCAGTGGTCCTTACCGGCCACGCGGACGCTTCTTGGGCTGACGACCAGGCTACGCAGCGGTCGTCACAGGGTTACACCTTCAGCCTTGGTTCCGGCTCTGTCTCGTGGCGGTCTACTCGCTCGTCTTCGGTTCTCGGCTCCAGTTGTGAGGCTGAGATCTACGCCGGGGCCATGGCTGCACAGGAGCTTCGCTGGCTCACCTACCTGCTGACTGACCTTGGAGAGCCGCCTCGTTCTCCTCCAGTGCTGTACGTAGACAACAAGGCCATGCTGGCCTTGTGTCGAGAGCAGCGCTTGGAGCACAGAACGAAGCACATTGCTCTCCGCTACTTCCTTGCTCGTGAGCTGCAGCAGCGTGGTCAGTTGCGACTTGCGTACGTGGCCTCTGAGGCCAACACTGCTGATGTCTTCACCAAGGCACTCGCGCCTTGTGACCATCAGCGCTTTTGCACCCTGCTGGGTCTTGTGCCTGTCTTGCCTCACTTGCTCTCCTCTTGACTTCACTTGTACTGTGACATATATATATACCTTCTCTTGCTTGTCTAGTTCTATATATATATGTCTGTACTCCTGCATGTGAACTGGCCTCTGGCCCTGCTCTTGTGCTCGGACTGTGTGGTGACGTTGTGATCCACCCTGAGCTTGCTCTGCTTTGCTTTACCTGACTGGTCTTGTGACCCCTTGTTCTCCCCCACTTTGCCTATGGGGGTGTGTCAGATTTATATGATATAGTTTCTGTAGGCTATAGTGGGGTAGCACATATGGGGTACAGGGTTTCTAGGGTTGTATTTGTACCCAATCTTCCATAGTCATTTCATTCCTGTTTTTTCTTGCTTCACACTCGGCTGCTCGGCGGCTCGGCGGTTCGGCGGCTCGGCTGCTCGGCGGCTCGGCGGCTCGGCTGCTTGGCGGCTCGGCGGCTCGGCGGTGAAGAGGCCCGGGAGGGGCCGAAAGGGGAGGCGACGGGGCCGCAAGGGGCGGCGACGGGGCCGCTAAGGGCGTCGACGAGGCCGCAAGGGGCGGCGACGGGGCCGCAAGGGGCGGCGACGAGGCCGCAAGGGGCGGCGACGGGGCCGCAAGGGGCGGCGACGGGGCCGCTAAGGGCGGCGACGGGGCCGCTAAGGGCGGCGACGAGGCCGCAAGAGGGCGGCACTGGGGCTGCGAGAGGGCAGCGACGCGGCCGCGAGAGGGCGGCGACGAGGCCGCGAGGGCGGCGACAGGGCCGTGAAGGTGGGGCCGCAAGGGGCCGCTAAGGGCGGCGCGACGGGTCGCTAAGGGGAGGGTGGCACATAGGGCGCGCCTCGGTCAGGGGCGACTCAATCTCAGGGCAGGAAAAAAAAAAAAAAAAAACTCGATTTTCAGTGGTGGGCCCTAGGAAAAGTTCCCACTAGGGAACCTGCTCTATACCATGTGAAGAAATGAGGAATGAATGAACTAGCAAGCAGGTGGGTACAAGTAGGAAAACCTAAAAGTGTTGTACCCCATATTGTCTACCCCACTACAGCCTACACAGACTATAGCATATGAGTTTGACAAGATGACACATTGCGAGGAGGATAAGATCCCAAACAACTCGTTTTGGTCCACAAATTCCACACAACCGAGGCGCGTTTTCTGACGACGGTTCAAATTTGGTGGACAGAAGTGCGGGAAAGGGGAGGTTCAAACTTTCAAAGGCTATGTGTTGATGTCACTGCACAAACGCCGCCGAAGGAGGAATCATCGTCAACGTCTTGGGAAGCTGCTTTGATGGATGGCAACGACACGGTAGCCCCTAAGCGGCTTAAAGGCCACACCCCGAATTACACAACGAAGTCAACGAAAAACTTGTAGGTTCGGGAAACCCCAGAGACAGGTTTGGTGGGGAAATCAAGAACCAATCGCGTCAAAAACCCACTCAAAACCCTCGACCAATCACACGAAAGTGGTGACAGTTTTGGGGCCGACACGGTAATTCTGGATGTGTCCTTTAAGCTTCTGTCGCCCTGGCACACACATGTGGGCACGTTTCGGTGGGTGCTTCCCTTCTCCTCGTGTAAGTTTCCCAACTCCGAGGGGTGATCGGCACGCCCTCGAAACTCCGCTTAGGGAAGTTGCGAGGGTCGTGAGCGCGATTTCCCTCAACGCACTGTTGCGGCCGGCCCAGACTGCCCCACTCGTGACCAAGAAAACGAATTCCCTCTAAGGGGTAACTTATCCAGAAAATGACAACATCAAGAACCACTGGGAGTTGGGGGAATGAAAAATTTTGAAGATATTTGAAGGCTTCCCCGAAAACAAAAAAAAAAAAAGTAAAATTTGCGGCACTGTTGGGTTCACCCTTCGCGGGCTTAAAGCGCGAGGTCAGCATGGTAATTTTTCAAGTTATGTAGGGTTGAAACAGTTAGGCGAAAACCTGAAAATCGTGAATTTCGAAAATGTGTGTGGGGCGAAACCGAATTCAGGAGGCGGGGAAAACAATCTTCGCCACGATACTATGCGACAGCTGTCCCCGAGGATATGGGAGGGCCGAACGACCCAGTGTGCGACAGAGCACTACTCCCGCCCCAGCACTGGTGGGGCACACTGCGCTTCTCTTGGGGTTGAAATGGTGGGGAACGCGAAACTCACGCGAGCAAGAGTGAGGCACTACACTTAACAATATTTCCTGTGATTACTAATCGACTAAAATATTTGGATAAGTTTGAGACTTCACTTCAGAATAACATAAAAAAATGAAGTGCTGAATTGGCATAGAAAAGCAAATTGTGAATCATGAAAATTACATATCAAAAAACACATTAGCAATGCATTTCCAAGAGTACACTCTCAAGCTCAGATCCCGCAACTCATAAGGGTCTCGGCCGGCCACATAGGAACATGTCGTGCCTTTCCCTGCACCAATCTGCACTCCCCCGGCCCACCGCAGCGCAGACCAGCCTTGCCCCACCGCACATGCCCTGACGTGCGCTGCCGCCAGCATCCTGCCGCACATCTTGCTGACACTGCCAATCTCCATATTTTTGCCACGGCCCCTGCCTGCCTTCACCCTGTGCTTGCCATTTTGCCTCCCTCCCACGCCACTCCGCACTGACCATGCCGCACAACACACTCCCTTACCCTTGCCCCATGATCCACCAGTTCGAATCCTTGCCTGCACAGTGCTGGCTGCTAGGCAAAGCGGCTCCCAATCCCTCCGTACATGCAGGGGCGGGGAACAGAGAGGGCACGGCCTCATAGGGCGCAGATCAGCAGAGGGTATGGGCCAGCAGGGGAGGCACATATAGAAAAAGACGTGGTTTGGGAGAGGTGGGATGGAAGGCGTGGACAGCAAGCGGCAGGCACAAGGCAGCACGTGCACCTTCCGGGCACACCTGCGCGCGGATGAGAAGGGAAGGATTTGAGGTGGTAAGGTGGGCAGGCGGTAAGGTCGGCAGGCGGTAAGGTGTGCGAGGGTGAAGGAATAAGAACAGAGGGTGGGGAGACACATGGAAAAGGGACAAGGAAACGGGTAACACGGAGACCGGGAAGGGGATGGGGGGAAGCAGGGAAGGGGATGGGGGGAAGCAGGGAAGGGGATGGGGGGAAGCAGGGAAGGGGATGGGGAGAAGCAGGGAAGGGGATGGGGGGAAGCAGGGAAGGGGATGGGGGGAAGCAGGGAAGGGGATGGGGGGAAGCAAGGAAGTGGATGGGGGGAAGCAGGGAAGGGGATGGGGGGAAGCAGGGAAGGGGATGGGGGGAAGCAGGGAAGGGGATGGGGAGAAGCAGGGCAGGGGGCGGGGAGAAGCAGGGAATGGGATGAGGGGAAGCAGAGCAGAGGGTGGGGGGGAGCAGGGAAGGGGATGGGGGGGAGCAGGGCAGAGGGTGGGGGGAAGCAGGGAACGGGATGGGGGGAGCAGGGCAGAGGGTGGGGGGAAGCAGGGAAGGGGATGGGGGGGAGCAGGGCAGAGGGTGGAAGGAATCAGGGCAAAGGGGGAAGCATGGCTGGTGGGAGAACGGGTGGTTGGGAAAAACAAAGACAGGGGGCAACAATTTGGGGGAAGTGAGGGCGATGAGGGGAAGCGCGTGGGGGAAAAGAACATCTGCATACCCTTCTGTCCTATCCCCTCTGTGTCTCTCATTCAGTCCCTTCCCTCAGGAGGAAGAAGGGTGGAAGAAAGGGTGAGAGAGAGGTTCGAAGAAAGAGAGATAGAGAGAGGGAGAGGGAGGGAGGGAGAGATGGAAGGGAGGAAGAGGAGAAGAGCGTATGACAAGCGGAATAGAATGTGGGGAGGAAGGCGGGTGGTATGTGGGGGATATGGAGGTGGGTATGTGGGGAGGCGAGGGCGACGGGCAGAAGCGAGGGCGTTATGGCGACGAGAGAAACGAAGATGTTGAGGAGGAGAGCGAGAGATGAGAAGAAGCGTGGGTGACAGGGAAGCAAGGGCGACGACGGGAAGCGCGGGTGACGGGAGAGCAAGGGCGACAACGGGAAGCACGGGTGACGGGGAAGCAAGAGCGACGACGGGAAGCGCAGGTGACAAGTTGATGCGAGGGCGGCGAGGGTCGGTGAGGGAGATGAGGGAAATTGCGGGCGACGAGGAAAGGGGTATGACGTGGGAAAGAGCGGCCGACGAGGGGGAACATATGAGACTAACGGCAGCGCGCGTCTGGCGAACCTGTACGGCATTCGCGTGAGCGACCCGTGCCTAAAACGGTACGATTGGGACGCGAGGCTGAACCGCAGCAAGTGTGAAAAGAGCATCTTGTGCGACGCGAGCTTGAAAGCAAGGCGCGAGTAACGCGACGATTGTTCATTAACGTTAGTGCTGCGGGTGAACGGGTTGTAACACGAGACCGGCGACGTGAGGGGGAAATCGGAGCGTGCACTGACTAAGATGGTTGAGGTGGATACCTATTTTTTTTTCCGCACAAAAAAAAAGCCCTAACAACGACTCGCTTTTGCCAACTAGCGCTAGTTTTTGCCTTGGAGCCTCCTAGTCTATGAGTACGACTTGGTAAGCAAGTTATGTGAGTGATGAACAGTGCATATGGTTGGCAATCATCGCGTCAGTTCTGTTTTTGGGCACTTGGGTTCTGTTGTCGCAGGACAATTGCCTGGGGTTGCGAGAGTTTCTTCAAAACAAGTAGGGTAACCCTGTTTTTTTGCGATTTCAAGTTCAAGAATCTTGAACTTGAAAATTACCATGCTGTACCCGGGCTTTAATCCGAGTGCTAGGCTACTCTCCCAAAAAGCCAGGGTTAGTGGAGTTCCGCCGCAGAGCTAAGTTTGCCTGTGAAGGAACCTTCTTGAATGGCAACTTCGAGTCGAACTCCGAGTAGGGTGTTGGGGCGATCGTTTGCCCATTCTGACTCACACGGAGTAAGCCACGTCGGACTGAGTAAACTTCCGTCACAAGTGCAAAGCGGGACTTAGGGAACTGCGTAGAAGCTCACTAACCCCGGTTAAGGGTGCTACCGATCAGGCACATGCGACCACGTACTGTATATCGGCCGTAGTTCCGCGCCAAAATTTTTGACACGCTGGCCAAATCACGGTGCTGCTTCGCACTGATAAGATTCGCCACATCACCAAATTGGAGACACCTCGACCCTCCATGCACATCCGCTGTACACACCAACCCAACCAGAACAGACCAGCCGATTGAATGCTACCCGATATGAATGGTTTAGCTCTATATATGGATGCATTCCAGCAGAGCGCATTTCTTGGAGTTGCAGACTACCTAAAGAATATATCCCAACTGAATGTACATGTTCTGGATGTAACAAGGCTAAGTGAACAAAACCCATCATCTCATGCATCCATCCAGGGAAGGAAGTGTGAGTCACCAAGTTTCAACATGTGAAACCAAAAACCTGCCTTCAGTTTAGTCCTCTATGACCTTCAATTGCAGTATCGATACTGCAATGCCCATGCAAGGGTCGTTACTGGAACCTCAAAAGGATTTCAGGACTTTTTACCTTGAAATCACAGGCCCTAGTCCAGGGTAACAGTGGCTCGTGTGCTACGTATAAGCAACACCTGTGGGCGGGTGCAGCAGCACCCAGAAGGCAGCATCGGCAAATAAGGAATGCAGCACGTGCGGTGGGCGTGTGGCATGTGTGGCATTTGTGGCATTTGTGGCGTGTGTGTGGGTGGCAGTGTGGCGCGTGTGCAGTCCAGTCAAGGCAGCGCTGCTGTTCCAATGCAGGATCAGCCTGGCAGCACCATGTGCCGCCTCTGCTGTGGGCAGCCATGCCATCACGACCCTACAGGCTGCTCCACGCCTCTCACAACTCCCTCCATCGCACCTCCTGTCCTCACCTCCCCTCCCTCTACTGCTTCCCTCGCTTCCCCCGCTCCCCCGCTGCCAGCAACCACGGGCCTGCCGCCTCTCCTCGACCGCTGGCGCTTCAACCCCCATAGCTCGCCCGCTGATCCCCCCTTCCTGCCATCCGCACGCTCCTCATCGCCCTCCAACCCCGCTTCTGCTTCCTCCTCCATCTCGCGCCCTCTCTTCTCTGCACCTCTCTTGACCGCTTTCAACTCCAGGCCAGCACCACCACCCAAGTCACCACTCACAACTGTTCCCCCACCCTTGTCACCGCTCCCCAGCATTCCACCTCCCAAGTCACCACTCCCAACCGTTCCACCACTGCTGCCAGCAGCAGCAACAGCAGGGGGGGCAAGAGCGGAGCACCCTCTGCTTGGGTCGTCAGAGGCGTCCTGGCAAGGCGCACCGGCAGCAGCAGAAGCAGCAGCCGAGGCAGCAGCTGCAGCGGGCACAGAAATGCCTTCCAGTGCGCCTGCCTGCCCCACCACAGCAGCACCAGCAACGTCCTTCTCCAGACGTGTCCTCTCCCTCCGCTTGCCCCTCTCCTCACCACGCCGCTGCTCACCCCCTCTCTCCTCTGTACCCTCCTCGCCCGCCAGCACCGCAGCGGGCGAGGCACACGAGGAGAGCGGGGCGTCAAGCAGCGGGTGCGGGGAGAAGGTGGTGCTGCCCACGGGGCTGGCGCCCATGCCGGGGCTGTAGGGTAGGTACGGGCTCGTGAACCGCGGGCTTGCGTTAAGGTACGGGCTGGCGAGCAGGTGAGAGCTGGCAGTGACGTATGTGGTGCAGTGCAGGTGGGGGCTGGCAGCGAGGTGTGGCAGGGGTGTGGCGGCGGAGGCAGGGCTGCTGGTGGCCAGACACGCGCTGCCTGCCTGCCCCGCCCTGCTCGCCCCTCCCCCTCCCTCCTGCTCCCCTCCATGTTCCCCTCCCCTCCCCCTGCCGCCCTGCTGCCAGCCTTCCATGCCAGACTCCTTGCCACCACCGCTGCCAGAAGCACCACTGCCATCCTGTGACGCACTCCTCTCTGTTCCACCCCCTCCTGCCGCGTGCCCCTCCAGGTTTGGCCCATCCACCTCTATGTCCTCGCCCCCTCCCTGGCCCCCACTCTCCTCCTCACTCTCCTCCTCTCGAAACAGGCTTGAGAAGCTGTCACTCTCACTCTCACTCGCACTCTCCTCGTCCCCCTCACTCCCACCACCTCCCACACTTCTCCCCCCGTGCCCATGCATCCCCTCACTGCTCCCACCAGACCACAGCCCGTCCGTCTCCTGCTTACCACCGCTGCCCTTCGCCCCACCCACTGCACCCACCACCCCCACCTGCCCCTCGCGGCATCGAGACAGTGCCGACCCGCCCCCTCCCCTGCCACCGCCTCGTTTCCTATCACTGGTCCGTGCCTCACTCCGCCTTGTACCATCCTCCCTTGCACCCTCCTTCACCTGCTTCTGCATCTGCTCTTCATTCTCTTGCGCCCTCCCTCCCTCCCTCTCTCTGCCATCCGCACCACTTACCCTCGCTGCACCCTCCTCCTTGCCCTCCGTCCTCACCGCCCTCCTCCCGCCTCCCCCCTTCATGCCACCGCGCTTGCCCCCATGCCTCCATCGCCCCCGCCTGTCGCGCTGCTGCTGCATGCTCCTCTGCTTCTCCCCCTGCTGCGCTGCCCTATCTCGCTCGCCTGCATTCCCATTCGCCGCCCCTCTCTTTCTTCCTCTGCCCTTCCCTCCCCCTCTTCCCACCACCCCTCCCCTCCTCCAATCTCCATCCAACGCCCCTTTCCCTTTTACACCCTTCTCCTCCGCCCCATATCCCTCCTCTGCCCCCTCCTCTCCCCCCACTCTGCTCTTTCCCCTTTCTCCCCGCTCTCCCTCTTCTCCCCCTTCACCAGCTGCTCCTTCCCTCCGCTGTCTCTTAATGTCGATCCCTTGTTGCTCCTCCCTTACCCGCTTCCCCCTGTGCGCCACAGCCTTTGCACCCACTCCCCTTCCCGCCTCCTCCTCCTCACCATCTGCTCCAGCCCTCTCTCCCTCGGCCCGTGCACGCTGTCTCTCCTTCGCCCTCCACTCACCACTGCTGCCAGCCCCAGCCCCATTCTCACCACCACCGCCAACACCACCACCACCACCACCACCAGCACCAGCAGCACCCGCACCTACCTCAAATTCCTCCTCCTTCAGGCCTGCTTGGTCCTTGTGCCCCTCCACCTTCCCTGCCGTACCACCGGCCTTGTCACTTCCAGCCTCTGCCGCCCCACTGCCCGCCCCCCCCCCAACCTCCGCAGTCTCCACACTGCCGCCTGCCCGCCTGCCTGGTGGCATGGCCTTGCGGGATGCGCTGGGGGGGGCACTGGGGCGGGGGGTGCGCGGAGTGGGGGGGATCAGTGGGGGGGGAAGGGCAGGGAGGGCAGGGAGGGCGAGGGGTGGGAAGGAGAGGAGGCGGCGGGGCACGGTGCGCTGAGTGCGCTCCTTCTTGGGCGAGGGGAAGGGCGGTTGGGCGAGGGCGTGCAGGGGCAGGGGGGCAGGTGGCAGTCGCACAGTGCTGGTGGTGGCAGCATTGGGGAGAATTCTCACTGCACATGCCGGCTTCTCTTCTCCATCCCCCACCCACTCTTCCTCCTCGTCCTCCGGCTTCGCACCCTTCACTCCACCGTCACCATTGCCTTCACCACTACCACCACCTCCACCACTATCGCCAGTAACCAGCCCCACCATATCAACCGCTTTGTTCACCTCTCCATCGCTTTGCACCTGCGGCCCCCTGCCTGTCCCATCCGCACCCCTGGCCACGTGAATCGAGGGAACAGCCTCTCCCGCTGGCAGCACACATGGAGTGCTCACCTGTCCACTCCGTTTCCCCACCGCCTCACCCACACTCGCCGCACCCCCCTCGCTGCCCTCCCTCCCACTCTTTCTCCCGTCACCAACCTCCTCCTCGTCCTCACCTGCGTCGTCCCCACCCGCCAGCTGCGAGTGGTGGTGAGCACCCAGGTCCCAGCTGCCACTCGCGCCCTCACTTCTCCCACCCAAGCTCTCACTCTCGCTGTCGTCGCTGCTGCTGCTGTCCGTCTCGCGGCCCATCCCTGCCTCCCCATCCCCATCTGCACTGCCGCTACCACTGCCAGCGCCAGCACCGCTGCTGCAGGCACGGGTGCAGGAGAGCGGCAGGGGGGTGCCGGTGTGGGAGCAGCGCCACTGCCGCATGAGTCCTGCCAGCTGCCCGCCGCCCTCCTGCTGCACGCACCACTGCCACCCACCGCGCTCAGCGCTGTCATCCCCCTTGCCGCCCTCATGGCCCCCCTGTCCCTCTTGCTCCCCCTGCTCCCCTCGCTGTTCCTGTTGCGGGGAGGCCGAGAGGTTGAGGGCGGGTGCAGCAGGCGGCAGGGTGCCCCCCTGTGCGTGAGCAAGAGGCTGCCATGTGTGTGAGGCGGGCAGCAGCGAGGCCGGGATGTCACAGCGCACGCTCACAGCACAGCCCGCCCCCGTGCAGGCGACACCAGCATTGCAGGCCAGGGGGAGAGCGGGGCTGGCGAGGCGGGCAGGGGGTAGAAACCAGGCTGTGCGGTGGTGGGCAGGGAGAGGTGCACACGGCACGTCAGCCCAGTGCAGTGGGAGAGTGCGGGCACTGGGGAGAGTTCCCGTGTCAGTCCGTGCGACTGTAACGGTGCTACAGTCTGCGGGAGTCACTGTGTCAGTTCCTGTGGCTGTATCTGTGTCAGTCCCTGTGTGTGTCTCATTGGGTGCAGCAGTGGGGCACGAGAGCACGGGCAGCAGCCCCACAGCCACGCGCGGCACCACCACTCTCTCCAGTGCCGCCAACAGCCCCACCGACAAACCCACCCTGCCTGCTGCTGCTGCCGCCGCTGCTGAAGCTGCCGCTACACCGGCAGGTCCCACCCCTCTGCTGCCACTTGTCATGGCGCCATTGCCCTGTGCGGGTGGAACAGCAGCAGGAAGGGGGGCGTCCAGCTTGCGGCGCTTGATGGCAGGCAGCAGGGCGTGCGGGGGAATGACCACCCCCCACTCGTTGATCACCACCTTCACCCGCGCCTTTGCCTTCCCTGCCCCTCCCTCCCTCTCCTCCCCCCCCAGCCCTACCCCTCGCCCCCTCTCCTCACTGCCGCCCGCTCCCATGCTTGCTGGCGGCAACACAGCAGCCACACCCACAACCCCTGGCCCTGCTGCCACAGCACCAGCAGCAGCTGAAATAGCACAGTCAGCGGCAGTGGCAGCGAGCTGCTGACCACTGCTCAAGGCAGGTCTGCTCACACCCAGGGTCCCCCAGGTCGCTGCTCCTGTGCCATGGGCGGTGGGCGGCGCAGAGGGGGCAGCAGGGGGGGGCAGTGGGAGAAGGGGGTGGAGCAGGGAGGGGGGTGTGCCGGCAGGAGGGGCACCCAGCAAGGAGGGCGAGATGGATGGGGACGGCAACAGCCCCCCTGGCGTTGTCAGCAGCCCTGCCCCTCCCTTCCCAGGCGAACCCCCCAGCTGCTGTTGTTGCTGGCGTGGGCTCTCAGAGCGGGGGTGGGAGGAGGTGGGCGTGTGCTGCGCCTCATCTGCACGGGTGGGCTCGCGGGGAGAGGGCGCGCGTGCATGGGGAGGCTGCAGCGGGCGGGGGCGCGCGGGGTGCAGGAGCAGGCGGCGCTGAATCACCCAGGAGGCGGGCTGCATGGCGTCTGTAGGCAGCTCGCCCCGCTGGTAGAAGTGCTCCTCCTGGTGGGGCGCACATGGGGGCGGGTAGAGAAGCCCGGAGGGGGGGGGGGGGGGAGGAGGGTTGGTTGTAAGCCGAATCGAAGGGGAGGGATGGAGAGAGAGAGAGAGGGCACACAATACTCTTGTGCACAACGGGGGCCATGGGATGAGAGGAGGTGCGTGTGCCATGCAGCAGGTGCGGACACGGTGAGCATGGGAGGAGAGGTGGCGCGCTGACCTGAGCGGGGGAGAGGTGGTGGCGGAAGCAGCGGGCGGAGGGCAGGGGGCAGCGCCCTGCCACGTGGTCCAAACACAGGGATGTCGCCCTGTCCCGCGTGCGCCTGGTGGGGGGGTGGAGGAGGGAGGACGGGGGGTGGAAGTGCGGAATGGGAAGAGGTGACGTGGAGCGAGAGGAGGGTGTGCAGGCAGCAAGGAGGGCGTGCAGGCAGCAAGGAGGGCGTGCAGGCAGCAAGGAGGGCGTGCAGGCAGCAAGGAGGGCGTGCAGGCAGCAAGGAGGGCGTGCAGGCAGCAAGGAGGGCGTGCAGGCAGCAAGGAGGGCGTGCAGGCAGCAAGGAGGGCGTGCAGGCAGCAAGAAGGGCGTGCAGGCAGCAAGGAGGGCGTGCAGGCAGCAAGGAAGGCGTGCAGGCAGCAAGGAGGGCGTGCAGGCAGCAAGGAGGGCGTGCAGGCAGCAAGGAAGGCGTGCAGGCAGCAAGGAGGGCGTGCAGGCAGCAAGGAGGGCGTGCAGGCAGCAAGGAGGGCGTGCAGGCAGCAAGGAGGGCGTGCAGGCAGCAAGGAGGGCGTGCAGGCAGCAAGGAGGGCGTGCAGGCAGCAAGGAGGGCGTTCAGGCTATGGGGTGGCACCGCTTGGGGTGGTGGCGGGAGCAGGAGGCGGGGTTCTTGCAGGCGCCGTATCTCAGCGCGTCCACACACAGCCGCAGCCTCCTCGCCCTTGCCTCCCCCTCCCCTGCGCCCCTTCCGGCATTAACAGGGGCAGCAGCAGTGGAGGGCGAGAGTGGGTCACAGACGGAGTGAGGTGATGCAGCAGGCGAGGGCGTGGGTCTGCCTTGCTGGTGGCGGGGCGAGCTCAGGGGGCGAGGGAGAGCGCGCGAGTGGGAGTGGGAGTGAGAGAGGGTGCGGGGGTGCTGCTGGGGCTCCTGCACACTGTGACCACCGCTGCCAGCACCCTCGTTGCTGCCCTTCTCCCTCTCCTTCTCCTTCTCTTCTCTTTCCCGGTACTTCTCCTTCCCCCTCTCCCGCTCCCTCTCCTTCTCCCTCTCCCATTCCCTCTTCTCCCGCTCCCTCGCCTTCTCCCTCTCCCTCTCCCTCTCCCATTCCCTCTCCTTCTCCCTCCCCCTTTCCCTCTCCCTCCCCCTTCCTGTCTCCCTCTCCTCCCTTTCCCTCTCCTTCTCCCTCTCCCTCTCATTCTCCCTCTCCCTTTCCTTCTCATTCTCCCTCTCCCTTTCCTTCCCCTTCTCCCCCTCCCTCTCCCTCTCTCTCTCCCGCTCCCCCTCCCTTTCCCGCTCCCTCTCCTTCTCCCTCTCCTTCTCCATTTCCCTCTCCTTTTCCCTCTCCCCCTCCTCCCCCTCTCTCACCCCCCCTTTCTCGTTGTCCCTCCCCTCCCTGCCCCTCACCCCACACCGTTCCATCACGGCGCCCCTGTCCCCTCGCGCCCCATCTGTTGCTTCCTGACTAGCCCCCAAGCCGTTGCCACCATCGACACCCCTCCCCGGCGCCTCATCTCGCTCCTCTACAGACAACACGCGCTCGCCCTCCCTCGCACTCCCATGCTCACGCCCGCTACCCTGTCTGCTCACCTCTGCTCTCTCTGGCCCCTGCCCCCTCCCCTCCGCTGAAGCTGCTTCTGTGTGCTCGTGCCTGCCCTTGAGCCTCTCATTCGACCAGCCCCTCTCCCTGGATCTGCTGCCATCCCACCGCTCACCCCTCTCGCTCTCCTTGAACTCATGTCTTCTCCTCGCGTCCTTCTCCCTCTCCTCATCCCTGTCCCTCCCCCTCGTCTCCCTCTCTGCCTTCCTCTCCCGCATTCTGTCGTCACCCCGCTCCCAGCCTCCATCCCTATCTCTGTTCCTTCCCCTCTCGCCTCTCTCTGCCTTTTCGTCCCCCTCCCACGTCCCTCTGTGTCTCTCTTTAGGCTTCAAGCCAGCGGAGCTCCCATTCCACACGTCCCTCCGCCTCTCCACCATGCCCTGCTTCTCGTTTCTTTCCTCATAACCCCCCCCACCACTGCTGCCCCTCCCCCTCCCACCCTGCCTCTCACTGCCCCAACCCTGGTGCCTCTCCCCTCTTCGCCTCTCCCCATCCCTCTCGTGCACCGGTGCTCTCTTGTTGTCCCTCTCCCTCTCATATTCCCTTGCCTTCTCTCTCCCCCTCACGCTCTTTCTTTCTCGATCCTTCTCTTGTTCGCTCTCGCCCTCTCTTCCCTTCTCTGTCCTCTTTTCCCTATCCCTCCCCAACTCACACATCCGCTCCCTTTCTTTCTCCTCCGCCTCTATCTCCCTCTCCTCCCGCTTATCCTTATGCCTCCGTTCCCACTGCATTTTTCTGGCTGCTTCCTGACCTTTCCCCTCCTTCCCCTCCTCCTCCTCCTCCTCCACCACCACATTGTTGGAACCTGTATTTCTTGCCCCTGCATCTGCTGTGTGCGTCGTGTAACCAACTCTCACACATGCTTTCTCATTGTCGCCTTCAACTTCACCTCCTCTCGCCCTCGCCTCCTCGGCTACCCGCTCCTGTCCCTCAGAGTGACTGCCTTCCTTCCCTCGTCCCCATCCTCCACCTTTACCGCTTGTCTCCCTCTCCCTCTCCTCCCTTTTCCATCTCCCCTTCCTCTCCCTTTCCCGTTGCCACCGCCCCTCCCTGTGTGCCCACTCACCATCCCTATCCCGCTCTCCTCCCGTCCCTCTCTCCCTTTCTTGCCTTACTCTCACCACACATCCCTCACCGCCCCTGCTCCATTCCTCTTTCCGCTGCTGCCTGCCCTCGTCCCCCCTCGCCTTCTGCTCCTTGTCCTCCTCTCCGCCCCTTCCCCCCGTCGTCCCGCCACTGCCGCTCGCCCGAAGCCCTTGCGTGGGCGGTTCCTCTCGGCCTCGCGCGGTTACTTCCCCAGCCCCACTCATCACTCGGCTCGCCCTGCTGCCTTCCTCCTCACCGCTCCCACTCACTCGCTGCTCCCTCCACTCCAGCTTCCCACTGCCCCCCTCCTTGCTCTCCCCATCAGCCCCCTGATCGTCTGCCCGCCCACCCTCCTTCCCTCGCCCGCCCCCCGCCTCACGCTCTGCCTGTGCCTGCCCCATGCTGCACCTCCCCTCCTCTGCTTCCCACGCTGCGCCATGCGCGTCCCTGTCCCTGCGCTGTGCGCCTCTTCTCCTCTCGCCTGGCCCCCACAGGTGTGTGTCGCGCATGGGCACGGCCTCTAGCGCCAGAACCACCGGCATCGTCCCCTGCGCCATCACACCGCCCCCCTCACGCCCTACCGCCCTGCCACCCGCCTCCTTCCCTCCTTCTCGTCTCCTCATGCCTCTGCTCCTCCGCCCCCCGCCCCCACCCTTAGAATTCTGCCCTCGAGCTACACTACACCGCACTGCACCACCCGTTTTTCCTTTCCTCCGCCTGTGCCTGCCTGGGCTGCCCCAGGAGGGGTCGTCCTCGCCGCTGCTAGCGCCACTGGCATCGCTCCTCACCTCCCCACTCGCCTCACCATCGCTCCCATCGCTCCCACTGCTGCTGCTGCACGTGCTGCTGCTGTCACTGCTCTGGCTGTCACTGCTGCTGCTACTGCTGCTGCTGCTACTGCAAGGTGCCCGGCGAGTTAGAGACGCATAACCATTTCCCTGTGCACCCCTGCGCCCCCCTGCCACACGCCTGCCACATGAACCCTCACGAGCCACAGCAGCAGCAGCAACAGCAGCAGTGCCTCTTTCACTAACGCGCTCGCTGTCCTGCCCACCGCCAGCCAACAACTGCTGCCCTGCCTTGCCACCTCCCTCATCTCCCTGCCGCCTCTCTGCACCTCCACCGCCCTCTCTCATTCGTCCCCTCTGCGGAGCATCACAGCTATCATTCCCCCTGCTGCCCCGCTCCTGTGATGTATGCTGTGTGCCCATGCTCTTCCCACGCCCTCTCCCCCCTCCTGCCACATGCCCATGCCCATCTCGCCTCCTCACTGGCCCCATCCGCCCACCTGCCCTCGCCCCTCGCTGCTCCCTCCTGCCCTCACCGTCGCTGCTACTGCTGCCACCGCTACTGCTGATGGAGCTGCTGCCGCTGCTGTCGCTGTGGCTCACGCTTGACGTTGTGCTGCCCCCACTGCCCCCCTCACTACCCCCGTCACAAGCGCCCTGCCCCCTGGTTGCACGCACCCCTTCACCCATCCTTTTCCCTGCTCTGCCCTGCCTGCCCGCCTCTGTGCCCTGCATTTCGCGCTCGCCCAGATCGCCCTCCCACTCCTTCCCTGCTGGCCGCACACAGGGGCTTGCCGCGCCACCCCCACCTGCGCTGCTGCCCACAGGGGCGGCGCCTGGGTCTGGCAGCAGCGGAGGGGCAGCAGACAGCGACGCAGCACGCACCACGTCAGGAGCATGAGACGCAGCGGCGGCGGGAGGGGAATCAGCGGCAGGAGAAGCAGGGTGGGCGGTATTGCTGTCCTCCCGTGGGACGCCATTGCTGTGCGCGGTGGGGCTTGAAGTGGTGGGGGTGCGAGGGGTAGGGCTGGATGGGGTAGCGCTGGGAGCAGTAGAGGTGGGAGGCGTTGGTGCAGCGAGGGCAGAGGCAGGGGGAGGAGGGGCGGAGCGCGGTGTAGGTGTGGATGGGCTGCCACCAGCGGGTGCAGCAGCAACTGCTCCTGCGCCTGCCGCTGCCGCCTCTGCTGCTGCCGCCCGTGCCACTGAGGGTGAGGGTGCAGGCAGCACGGGAGTCCCACTGACCGCAGCGATGGCAGGTGGTGGTGCACAGTGCAGTACAGATGGCAGGGCAGGCGAGGCGACGGGTGAGGTGACGGGCGTGCCATGCACCCCGTTGCCAAGGGCAGCAGCAGCGGGTGTGGTTGCGGCAGGGTGCAGCATGGGGGGCGAGTCGTGAGAGGCATGGCGCGCTGGGGCAGAGTGAGAGTGGCCGTTGGCCGTGGCAGGGGGTGGGGGAGGCGGTGGCAGCGCAGCGTGTGCGGCATCGGCAGCACCTTGGGCATCCTGCCACACCACACAAACCACACGGTGTGAGCGTGGACACAACTCTAAGCATCAACAAGGAAACAAAGACAGCTGTGATCAGATAATGAAGTGGAAGCATGTGGGTGCTGACCTGGGGGGGGGAGGCGCCGCCACAGCGGGCGTTCCAGGCAGTGAGGAGGTTGAGCAGGTAGGCGTAGTCGGGCTTGTCGGCGTACTGCAGCACCTGCAGGTGATCCGCGAACGCCTGAGGGGCCAAGGGGGGGTGGGGCAGAGCGGCATAAGACAGCAGTTGGCGGAAGGGCTTGGATGAGGAGATGCAAGGAGCGCGATAGGTGGAAGTGTAGGTAGGAAAGGTGAGAGCAGTGCAGAAGAGTGGGGTGGTGTGGCAAGGGTGGCAATGGATGCAGCGCGAGGGACTCACAGAGAGCTCCTCTGGGAAGGCAACGGACTTGGTCATCTGCTCCGGGTGGTCAAAGAAATACAGCTTCATCTCCTTCACCCTCTCCTGTTGCCGTTAACACACACACACACATGCATGCACACGCGCGCACGCACACATGCACGCACACACACACCCTCCCTCCCACCACGTGTACGCACATCATTGCACACACAGCAGGGCGAGGGAACACAGTGGGTGGGGAGAACACATTAGTGAGAGGTCCAGGCATGGCAGCGACGTGCATGCAGTGATGAGCCGAATGCAGCAGTGCAAAACATGCACTCTCTTGCTACGAGCACACTGCTCACCTTCTCCTGCACGTGGCGCCAAGGGAGCTCCCCGTCAAGAAACTCCACGAGCACATAGAAGAGCGACCACAGGTCGTCCCTCCGCCCCAGGTCCTGCCACCCACCACACACGGCAGGTGCGAGTGCACGGAGGCATACCATGAGCAGGTGCGAGTGCACGGAGGCATACCATGAGCAGGTGCGGGTGCACGGAGGCATACCATGAGCAGGTGCGAGTGCACGGAGGCATACCATGAGCAGGTGCGAGTGCACGGAGGCATACCATGAGCAGGTGCGAGTGCACGGAGGCATACCATGAGCAGGTGCGAGTGCACGGAGGCATACCATGAGCAGGTGCGAGTGCACGGAGGCATACCATGAGCAGGTGCGAGTGCACGGAGGCATACCATGAGCAGGTGCGAGTGCACGGAGGCATACCATGAGCAGGTGCGAGTGCACGGAGCCATACCATGAGCAGGTGCGAGTGCACAGAGGCGTAGGCAGTGGAGCCGCGGAACTCGGCCACCTGGCGAGCGGGGTGCACGCCGTGGGAGGAGCGGAATCGCTTGCTTATGCCAAAGTCAATCACGAAACACTGCTGCTGCCGTGAGCCCACGCCCATCGCGAAGTTGGACTGCTCACACGCGCCATGAGGGGGTTGGTAGGGGGTAGGTGAGCGGGTGTGCATGGAGGGGCGCGCTGAGGACGATGATTGGCGCATGGGGGAGGCTTGGGTGCCGGAATGGTGCAAGGAGCGGGTGATGCAGATGGCGAGGGACGTTGGTGATACAGGTAGACATGGCAAGGCAAGGCGATGCAGAGAGGAGGGGGTGGGGAGGGCACTGACGGGTTTGACGTCGCGGTGCAGGAAGCCGTGGTCGTGCATGGTCCTCAGCGCCCTCAGCATCTGCTCGCAGGGGGCGGGTGGGGGAGGGGGGAGGGGGGAGGGGGGAGAGGGGAGGGGGTGGGGTGCGGTGATGGGCAGGGGTGGGGCAGGAGCGGCAGTGGGATGGACATGCAACCTGAGGCCATCAGCAGCTGAATGCACCATGTCATGCAACACCCATTCGGCCCTCAACCCCCCTTGCCACCAGTCCCACGCAAGCCACCCTGCTGCTGCCAAGCAAGCACCCACACGCCCCCGTAGCCCCCCAGCACACTGACCTGCAGGGCGAGGGGTACGAGGGTGGCGACGGGGAAGCGCGCGTGGGGATGCGTGCGGCGCAGGTCGGAGAGGCTGGGCCCCAGCAGCTCCATCGCCACGTACGCGCGCCCCCCCGCCTGCCCCGCGTGCACATACTCGCACACCGCCCCGCACCCTGGGGGGGACACGCGGGGTGGGGAGGGGGGAGGTCGTATAGTGAGGGGGAGGGACGAGTGCTGGTCATGCGCCAGAAGGTTGACGAGAGGGGGGAGCGATACAAGAAGGGGTGGAGGAGAGAGGTGGGAAGGGGAGTGGGGTTGGGGGATTTGATTGGGAAACAGATGCGAGGAAGGTGTACAGGCGCAGGTGTATACAGGGGAGGCGGTAGGTACCTTGCAGGCGCTTGAGCACCCAGACCTCCCACTTGAGCACCGACTCCTCCTTCTCCACCTTCAGTGCCACCTGCCGCCCCGTCACCGTGTCGCGCGCCCGGTAGATCTCGCCTGCACACAACCGATTGCGCACAGATGGTTGAGGAAGGTTCAGGGCCGGGGAGCAGCAAGCGAGAAGGAGAGGCTTGGCGGCGAAGGTAGTGGAGGGGGGAGGAAGGGAGCGGCGTGGACGGGTTGATGAATGACGAGGGGTGTTCGGGTAGCGCGGGACACATGATGAGTGGCGAAACAGTGAAGGTCCTTAAGTTAGAGGACGCACAAAAGAAGCGATTTGCGAAACCATTCAACGACCAGCTTAGAGGGTGAGGGGAAGAAAAGGGGGTAAGAGTGGAAGATTGGGAAGAGAGAAGCGGAAAGGGAGAGAAAGGGGTTCCAGGGAGTGCGGGAAGTACTGAAGGTGCCTTCGCCGATCTTCTTCTCCACTTCGAACCGCGACTCCAGCACCGCGCCTCGCGACAACAACGGCGCGTGCGGAGGCAGCCGCGACGACGCCATGATGGCAGTGCAGGCAGCACCGTCACGGGCTGACGGCGGAAACCCCGGACCGTCACGCGTCGATCCTGCTCATCTGGAAGTAGCAGCACCACCCATTGCTGTCCATTAACGTCCTTCTTAACGTCCACCACGAAGCTCCGGTCCAGCCAGGCCACGAACGCAACGGCGGAAATTCGATGACTAACGCCTCACCTCAAGAGTTCCGTGTACAAGTACGGAGAGGACGGAAAGGGCCTGGGAACCAATGTACAGGAGGGCTAGATTCGAAGGACCTAGCCAGTGAATTTAACAATATAGTCGACATAAGAAGGGTTTCACGAGCTGCACACGTGACCTGAAGTGAGCTAGATTCAGAATCTTGGGCGCAAAAGGCTGAGACTGGGCCTACTAAAGCATCTAAGATGCAATGGACGGCTTCACTGCTGAAGGGTGGAAGGGATGAGCCTTGGAGTTGTCATGGCAGTCACATGGCTGTCCGTCGCCAGTCTCGGTGATATCATGCCCGCCGTCCAATCAATGACAGCGCACAGGCTCGCACCAAACCCTGCGACTGTTCCCAAATGAACACTGCAGCAGCCCCAACACGCTTTCCCCCTCAAAGGGTCGTTTCAGCTTTGTATTGAAAAACGATGCAATCCAAAGTCAACCACAGTTCTACCTTATCTTAGCCAAGCAGCAGAAGTGTCAATGATTAGCTATAACTTACCCATTGACAGCAGACATTTGCCATACAAAGAACGTGAATAATGAGCGTGCATAATCATCATTGATTCCCCACTTCATTATTTGAATGTTCACAAATATTTTGAATTTGTTTAGTATTTCTTATTGACGTAATTGATACCTGCAATTACAATGAAAACCACTAATCAGCACCTTAAGATCAATGCTTACAGTAAAAAGTGTTTTTCATAACAAACATCACCAAATTTGGGTGTCATATTTGTTACGAATAGTAATACTTGAATATTACTGAGCACTCCTCACCGCAGCAAAGAGAAGCACGCAGTATCGCGAATGAACGCGAAGCGTCAGACGGTTGGAACGCATCTGAACCGTCGGAGCAGACAGCTGCAGGCAGGATGGTTTCGGCGGGAACAGTTTCGTAACTGTTCGCGCCGCACAGTTGGGGATGTATTTGAATAAGGGAATGTACCCCTTAGAGTACATGGCTAGTCTAGGTCTTTTCGTATTCCCCTGTACTCTTATATAAACTCGATGTATGCATGTCTTAATCATCTCAAGCATTTACATTCACCGTGCTGTTGAGGTCAAGGGCCCATCAACACCATTTCTCTGCGTGCGAACCTTCCTGAGTAGATCCTAGGCCACGATCAACTTCTGATCGCAGCATGGTATGAGAGCGACTCAGGAATCCTTCGCACTGCCATCTCCGAAGTCTGCGACATTCAGAAAGTGGCGTTCGGCACACGATCACGTGTAAGAATGGCCGGAGGATCTGGAGGTCAGACAAATCTGACGGCTGAAGCGCAGCCCAACCCGGCTGCGACAAACGAGGAAACGACAACGATTCCCTCTGCCGTTCTCGCACAACTGCTTCAGCGACTCACGAGCCTAGAGCAAGGGCTCCAGACATTGCGGATTGGCGATGCGGGAACTTCTTCCCAACCCACTCAACCGGCTCCAAACGGCCAAAACTCCGCCCCGCAAGGCTTCTCCCTAGATACGAACGGCTCAACCCCCAAGACTCCCTGTCCCAGCGATGAAGCAATTTTCTCCGCGCAATCAAGGTTTTTGAGCATATAAAAAATAAAGACAAGTGTGTGCTTTGACGGCAGAGACTTTTACACCTGGAGCTTCGAGCTGGAGCTGCTGCTGCAAAACGCGCAGATTTATCATTATTTCGACGGGAGCTACTCGGGACCTGCTGAGGACACCGACGACGCAAGGACTCGCTATTATAACGAGTCCCTGATGGCGTACGGGATTCTCCTGCGTAACATGTCGCCGGCGGAGCAGCTGAACATCCGTTCATACAAGACATCGACTGCCCCAGCCCTCGACGCTTGGCGCCACCTGAACGGCGTGTATCAGCCCAAGGACTCCGTCTCCTCGAGCCGACTACTCCAGCAACTGCTGGAAACTAAGATTACCTCAGCGGAGAAGGTCAACAGCTACATCAACCGCTGTCGGAGCCTTCGCGATCAAATCGTGAAGTTGGGAAGCTCGATTTCCGAGGAAATCTTCGTGAACATTGTGCTTCAAGGGCTTGGCCCAGAGTGGCGGCCCTGCAAGGCGCTCCTCCGACAGCAGGGGGTCATCTCGGAGGCCGCCCTTTGCGCCGCCCTTCTCGTCGAACAACGGGATATGGATCAGCACCGGCCAGCGCCACGACGAGAACGCGAATGGCTCGCCTTCTATGTCGACAACAACGAAGAGCGACGACCGCGGCGCCTCCATTGCAAAATCTGCAGAAACTTCGGGCATTTGGCGGATCGATGTAAGTTCCGATCTCCCCCTCGCCAGACCAATCCGAGCAACTGGTCCGGCCGACAAGACGCACGAGGCGACGTGCGTCCAGCCCAAGGGTATCAACCCCCACCCACGCGCAATCTGAACTCAACCGTTCAGCATCAGCAGCAGCAGCCATCAACTGCCCCTACGCGCAACGCCATGAGCAACATGGCCATGACAGGCGAGTCACGTCGTCGCCGTGCTCGCTCACCCTCACCTGAGCCAGCACCGCACCCCATCGGCGCGTTCACCAACAACAACCCGTTCAACCCGCGCCGCGACTACAACGACGACGACGACCAGGACTGGAACTGTCAGAACATTATAGCTTATGCTTTTGTGCAAGCTGTAGTGGGGTAGCCCATGCGGGGTACAACCCAATTAGGGTTAGTACTTGTACCCAACTCTTTCATAGTGTATTCATTCTCGTTCTAGTTTTCTCATGGTATCGAGCAGGTTCCCTCGTGGGAACTGTTCCTAGGGCCCACCAATTCGATTTTTTTTTTCCTGCCCGGAGCGCGCTCAGTTCCTGCCCGAGTCGCGCTCCCCTCTCTTGACCCTCTCGCGCCGCCTTATCGGCCCCGTCGCGTCGCACTGGAGGCCCCGTCGCGTCGCCCTCGCGGCCTCATCCCGTCGAGCCGCCCTAGCGGCTGCGTCCCGCCACCCTAGCGGCCCCGATCCGCCGCCCTAGCGGCCGCGTCGCCTACTCCTGCGGCCCCGGCGCCGCCCTTCCCGGCCCCGACCTGCCGCCCTAGCGACCCCGTCGCCTACCCCGCGGCCCCGGCGCTGCCCTTCCCGGGCCCAGACGACGCCCTTCCCGACCCAGCCCTGCCTCTGCTGGCCCCGTCGCCTAGCCCTGCGGCCCCGGCGCCGCCCTTCCCGGCCCCGATCCGCCGCTCTGCGGCCCCGTCGCCTACCCCGCGGCCCTGGCGCCGCCTTTTCTCGGCCCCGACGCCGCCCTTCCCGACCCGGCCCAGCCTCTGCTGGCCCCGTCGCCTACCTTGCGGTCCCGGCGCCGCCCTTTCCCGGCCCCGACGCCGCCCTTCCCGACCCGGCCCCGCCGTCGCCTACCTCTGCGGCCCCGACGCCGCCCTTCTCGGCCCCGGCACTGCCCTTCCCGGCCCCGGCCCCTCCTTCACGCGGCACCGCCGAGCTATTGTCGAGCCGCCAGCGCCACCCGAGCAGCCCGAGCAGCCGCGCCACCTGAGCCGCCCGAGCCGCCGTACCGCCCGAGCCGCCGAGTCGCCCGAGCCGCCGAACCGCCGAGCCGCCCGAGCCGCTCGAGCCGCCCGAGCCGCCGAGTCGCCGGGCCGCAGTTACCGCCGAGCCGCCCGAGCCGCCCGAGCCGCCCGAGCCGCCCGAGCCGCCGAGTCGCCGAGCCGCCGAGCTGCAGTTCCTGCCGAGCCGCCAAGCCGCCCGAGCCGCCCTGTGCGGTAAGAGCAGAGCCTCTGTCACTGCACTGCCCTTACCCCACTGTTCGCGCTACTAGTCTACTACTGTCATGGCTACCCCTAGTGTCCTCACTTTTGACGCTGAGGGTCGGGCCATTGACTTTGACGTCTGGGTAGATGACCTACAGCTTTTCCAACAGTGCGATCGAGCAGACGGTCTCTCCCTCTTTGACCTCACCTCTGGTGCCTCTCCTACCCCTGCTGCTGATGCTGACGCCACCGTTCACTCACAGTGGGCCACACGCGATGCTGCTGCACGTCTTGCTGTGCGTCGCCACCTGCCTACATCTGAGCGTGTGCACTTTAGCCAGTACAAGAGTGCTCAGACTCTGTACGACAGTGTAGTTGCACGCTACTCCTCCCCTGCCACTACTGCACTGAGCCGCCTCATGCTACCGTACCTCTTCCCTGACCTTGCTGCCTTTCCCACCGTGGCTGACCTCATTACGCACCTCCGCACTAGTGACACCCGCTACCGCGCTGCGCTTCCTGCTGAGTTCTGCGCCAAGAACCCCCCCCCCCCATGTACATCACTCTCTACTACATCGTCACCCGCCTCCCTGACTCCCTTCGCGTAGTCAGGGACCACTTCCCCTCGGTTTGCCCCACCACTCTCACCGTTGACCTCCTCGAGAAGGCCCTCCTAGCAGCGGAGAAGAGCATAGTCGCTGTAGGAGCCTCTCGTGGTGACCCTCGCACCCCCATCTTTGAGGGGTGTTCCCCCTCCCCCCTTTTGCCCTCTGTTGCCTCTGCTTCTGCGGCCGACCTTGTTGGGCTTGAGTCGGTCGGTGCGGCGTCTACCCCTAGCGGGAAACGCCGCCCTGGCAAGGGCAAAGGGGGCAGGGGAGCTGGAGGAGCTAGCGGGGGCGGTGGAGGAGGCGGTGGAGGCGGTGGAGGGGGTGGGGGTGGCGGTGGGGGTGGTGGCGGGGGTGGAGGTGTCGGTGGCGGCAGTGGAGGCGGAGGCGGCGGCGGCGGTGGCGGTGGGAGCGGAGGTGGCGGAGGTGGCGGCGGTGGAGGCGGCGGTGGCGGTGGAGGTGGAGCTGGTCGGGGTGGCGCTGCGCAGAGGGTTTGCTC